GAGTCTAAAAGTAAATCTTGGACTGCAGATCCATAGTCCTGGGATTTACTTTTAGACTCCAATTCTTCAATCTGGTTTGAAACTTAAATAAAAAGTAAAAAAAAGTACGCGATATGTACAATTTTGTTTGCGAAGTGACATTTGTTCGAGTGTTTCTTGTCACACGGAGAAAAATGGATTGTTAAAATCATATAGTAAAAATTATATTGTAATCAGTATAGCAAACCTTGACACACGCTGTACAATATGAATATGTCTAATCAAAATTATTCTCACTATAATAATGATATTTTATTAAATAAGATCTTAGATATTTAAATATATCCAAGAGCAAATAGATAATAAACATTAAAATATAGTTTATTATTTGTGTATATCATATGTTAAAAGTTATTATATGGGTTGTTGATGCTGAATCTGCAAGATAAGCATAAGCTTATTTTGAGAACAACCGTTGCAAAGGTTGCATTAAATTATTAAAAGCTCTGTATCATAGAATTGGTAATTCTATGCTCTGTATTGACTGTATTATATTATACCTTATGGTTGCAAATATATCATGCTTTTTGAACTTATAATTTTATATATTCGAAACCAATATGTGTGTATCCTGATTTTTGGTAAAAAAGGAAGGTTATACACTGCCTTTTTTTGAGCCCCGAAAAAAAAATTGTCTCAGATCGACCCGGAAAAAAAATTTCTTATAGAATGGGGCCTGTAGAATCCATAATTTCAAACAGTTCCAAGATTGGGCTACTAGTTCAAAAGTTACAGCCCTTTGAATTTTCTTTCGAAATTGTTTTCTAGTCTATAACTTTTGATTGAGAAGTCTGATCGAAAAAGTACGAATTGTTTTGGATTCTACGCACCAAAATTAATAAGAAAAAGGGTTTTCCCGAGAAATTTTGGTGTAGTCGATTTTTGGTAAAAAAGGAAGGTTATACACTGCCTTTTTTTGAGCCCCGAAAAAAAAATTGTCTCAAATCGACCCGGAAAAAAAATTTTCTTATAGAATGTGGCCTGTAGAATCCATAATTTCAAACAGTTCCAAGATTGGGCTACTAGTTCAAAGGTTACAGCCCTTTGAATTTTCTTTCGAAATTGGTTTCTAGTCTATAACTTTTGATTGAGAAGTCTGATCGAAAAAGTACAAATTGTTTTGGATTCTACGCACCAAAATTAATAAGAAAAAGTGCTTTCCCGAGAAATTTTGGTGCAGTAGATTTTTGGTAAAAAAGGAAGGTTATACACTGCATTTTTTTGAGCCCCGAAAAAAAAATTGTCTCAGATCGACCCGGAAAAAAAAATTTTCTCATAGAATGTGGCCCGTAGAATCCATAATTTCAAACAGTTCCAAGATTGGGCTACTAGTTCAAAAGTTACAGCCCTTTGAATTTACTTTCGAAATTGGTTTCTAGTCCATAACTTTTGATTGAGTAGTCCGATCGAAAAAGTACAAATTGTTTTGGATTCTACGCACCAAAATTAATAAGAAAAAGTGTTTTCCCGAGAAATTTTTGTGCAGTAGATTTTTGGTAAAAAAGGAAGGTTATAATACACTGCCTTTTTTGAGCCCCGAAAAAAAATTGTCTCAGATCGATCCGGAAAAAAATTTTCTTATAGAATGTGGCCTGTAGAATCCATAATTTCAAACAGTTCCAAGATTGGGCTACTAGTTCAAAAGTTACACCCCTTTGAATTTTCTTTCGAAATTGGTTTCTAGTTTTGATTGAGAAGTCTGATCGAAATAGTACGAATCGTTTTGGATTCTACGCACCAAAATTAATAAGAAAAAGTGTTTTCCCGAGAAATTTTGGCCCCGAAAAAAAAATTGTCTCAGATCGACCCGGAAAAACGGCCACTAAACCCACGCTCTGTCTAGCTCAAGTACTAACAAAACCTTTTACAGGAAAATGTTGACTATAAAATTTCTCAAGGCAGGTCCGGAGTCCGAATTGATCACTCACAAGATTGCAACAAATTTTTAATTAACTCCTGGCATAATCCTGGGCACAATTTGACATGAAACTAATTACCTTAAAGTTAAATATCCTTAAGATTCGGTCAACTGCGATTCACCTCAAAACAAAGAAGACAAACACCAAGCTGATGATGCTTCTAGACTTCACTTCTGTACTTCCGCTTTATTTAATTTATATTTATATTATCAGTCCTTAAGTGGTACTACGGGTAAATGATACTGCTGTTTGTTTATGCCCTAGTTATCAATTTCTCGCGTACTGGCTAGGGGCATTTTGACACAGTATTTAGTACAAGGCGTTCTTTAAAGTTATCAAAAAACTGACTGAGAATATTCAGTACCCAAGAAGTACTAAATAGTACTGTTCTTTATTAATTTGCTGGTTATCGTTACGGAGTGCATTGGCTAGCTTCCAAATACCGCCAGCCAGTACATCACATATCGGCGTTTTTAATAGGTAGCAAATTTTTTGCCATTTTAAGATAGTACTCCAACGGTACTTCAGAGTATTGATGTACTGGATATCGGGCATTATTGGTTACCTTTACGCACGCTAAATTTTTAGGTTGAAGACATTGGGATTGGAATGTCACAAAAGCATCCCGAGGGTGTTACCCAAATGATTCTAAGAACATATCAAGGAGGACTTTTTGTTGGAAAATTCAAGTATTTAGCTCGGTATTTAGTGTTGTAGTACATACCAGAGTGATAGCCACCTAAAAATTATAAGTAAGTATAAAAATTACTAAAAAGGTCATAAGCACTTTACATAATTCTTAAGTAGGTAGATGTAATAGTTATTTACATAAAAGTCAGGAAAATGGTACATTACTGGCGAGGAAATATTGAAGTGCGAGGCCCCTTTGGGGCCGAGCAGTTTAATTTCCGAGTCAGGTAATGACATTTTACTGACGAGTTTTGTATAAAATTTTACCCGAAATCGTCTTTTAATATAAAATTTCAATATGTATATAGTCCGGGGAATAGAGACTGAAAATGGACCATTTCCTGCAAAACGAGAAGTAGTTACAATTTTTTTTGCATGTCATGTAGGAATATCTGGTGGTTAAGAATCCAAGTTTTCGACCAAAGAAATTTGGTTGGTTTTTTAGTTTTTCAATCATATCTTTTTATAGGTTCACTTTACACAAAAATATTGTTATTAGAAATTGGAGAACATCAAATTTTACATAAATTTGTCATATACTAAATTTTTATTTCAAAAAATACAGAGTTTCAAAGTTGTTTTTATTTTGAAGATTCTGAAATTTCTAAGTATGTTCATATTTTAACGAAATTGTATGTTATCTCTATAATCATAAGATTTATATAAGAAAATAACTCGATTATGAAGCTATGGTGCTATTAATTTCGGTACCCTGCACCCCTATCAAAGGGGATGATGGCGCTGCAACCCCTTGGTCGTAGTAGGTATTTGAATCACTGTGTGATTATGGTGGCTTTCGAATACAATTATCAAATAAGAAAAGTGGTCTTACTTCATTTTAACCCCTTTCATCTCATACAAAAAGGGATGATTACTTCAATCCCCTATAGTAGTGATTGCTCAACTATCTAAGATTATATAGCTTTCGAACACAACTTACAAATCATTATTTTATATAAACATGAATAGTAAACATTTTTATTTGCAATGTGTATTCGGAAATGTCATTATCTAAGTTTGATCGAGCAATCAAAAACCGAGGATTAAACCACTCATTTCAGTTGGGGGTGGAAAGGGTTAAACCGGAACTAGAATATTATAAAATATAAGTAATAAGTGTTGTACTTACCCTCTGACTAACATCAATCGCCACAAGGGGTTGAAATATTCATTCCTTCCGGGGGGAGAGGGCGGGGGGGGGGGCGGGGGGGAGAAGCTGAACTGAAGTGAAACAATGTTTTTTATTTCAAACGCATATTAGAAAGCGCTACAATAAATTCAAGATATTTTCTCATAAAACTCTTAATTATAGAGATAAAAATTAAATTTTTGTTAAAACATCTACATAGAAATTTCAGAATTCTTCAAAATATAAGCAACTTTGAAGCCCTATATCTTTTTTATTAAACATTTCACAAAAAAAGTAATGTATATCAAAATTGTAGAATTTTACGGTCTACAATTTATGATAACAATATTTTTTTGTAAAGTGAACCTATAAAAAGATATGATTGAAAAACTAAGAAACCATCCAAATTTCAAGGGTTTTGGGGGTGGTACGGGGGAAGCACAAGGGGTGGAAGGTCGAAAACACAGATTCTTAACCACCAGATGATTGTCAATAACATGCAAAAGAAATTGGAACTACTTCTCATTTTGCAAGTTAAAACCCTCTATTCCCTGGACTAATATAGAACTTTTGATTAATGTCAATCTGTCAGTGACGAGGTCAGTGATGACAGAAGTCATTATAGACTTTTGAAATGCCAAAAATGCGAATTTCCTGACAGAAAGTACGCTTGAAAATGGAGGTTTCAGGACGATTTTGGGTAAACATTTTTAGAAATGTCGCACCCCTCGTGAAGATCTTCTTGATTATTATGTTATCCTCGTAATTTGAAAGAAATTTCATAAGACAAGCTTTTCCTTTCGACTTCCTAGTTCGATCGTATGGGAGGTGAGTTTCGTGAAGTAAAAAAAATTATGGGTGATTTCCTCAGGGTACCTACTCAAAGGTAACCTTTGGAAATGAGTAAAATTTTGTATTTAAAAGAACACACCGTTGTTCGTCGGAGGCACTTGTCCATACGAGGGCGACATTAACGGAGTTCACCAAAGAATTCGCATTTTCCCACGCGTAAAGTTCAGATGACATTTTGATACCGCAGATTGGTAATTTACGACAAATTTGGATCGGCGACTATTACAATGATTACCTTCCGTGCGGTATCTTAATGATTGTGAAAATCGTGCAAGTCGCACAATGTGTTACATAATTCCATTCAGGATATGGCGCGATCTTCTCATAATCAAAAAAATCTTCACCGTGACAAGCGCAAATATACTACTTACTCGCATGTCCGTTGCTTTTTGCATAGCCATTTTGATGATAATGTCCTGCACTGTGCTGATGTCCGTTATGATGAGCGTATCCGTTAGAGTGGCTACTGTGGCCGTTCGGAAGATGATGTGCCGCATGATTACTTCGCATCATAGTTTGCGGCATTTTTGACACATTTCACAAACAGTCTAATTTTTTACGGTAGTTTTTCAGTTCAAGGTCAGCAGTTGACGTGCTCTGCTTCTTCTAATTTATTGTTTACTAACTGTATCTTCTTACATTGAATTAGTACCGTTTCCTAACGTATCATGAAAAAAATTAGTGTTTCCTAACGCGCGCGTCTACGGCCTTATTAGAATTTTCTAGAGGAAAAAGTTAACGGTTTGCGGAATTATTTGGGTGCAGATTGTCTGACCGTGACCTATACTTCCTTCTATTTACCAACACTCTCTATTTACACATTCTCGCCTGCGGCGAAAAAAAGTTAAAGAAAAATTCACACACTTTCAGCGCGTCGTCCCCATTTTTTTGTTTGGGCACCGCTCAGATTCGAACTTCAATTACTCGCGTCGAAAAAATCAACTTAAGGGAAAACATCGCCGACACGTGCGGAGTTCCCTCGAACGGAAGCGGCAAGAAATTCACGCGGAATCTAACGCAAGACTAACAACATATTCTAGTAAAGTAAGAGGTACGCCTACCAACTGTTTACCGTTTTTCTCGAATACATTCGCCTACTGTCGATGCTATAGCAACCCCTTTTCCTTTTTTTTTCCGCTTGGCTACGATAAGTGGACAGGATATAAGGAAGCGGAGGATTCGATCTCTTCAATTTCAAACCGCCCGTCGTCAGTTGAAACGTTGCGTAAGCGCGCATCCATCAAAACAAATTGTTTGTTCGGAATATTAATTGCTGTTTATATGCCGTAGATGGTTATAAGGAGAATAATAAATTTCGTATGTTGCCTACGCTGAATTGCGATCGACGATTTTTGACAAGTTTCCGCTATGAGTTTATTGCGCCTTTATAACTGTTAGGATTCATTTTAAAGGAAATCCTTGCATGTAAATTGCACATTCAGATTCGGTAAATAGTTCCACTTTATGTAATTCCAGTACTCACTCGACAATTAAGATTAAAGATTTAGTAGCGATTTGCATTCCTCCCGCGTATAATTTTCAGAGCAATTATTCCGTCTTCACTCTACCATTTTACGACAATTAAATAAGTCCAAGAAGTAATCAGGAAAAGTGTAAACCGAGATTTCTCTAGAACCAACGCTAAAAACTTGAATTTTTCAAGATGGTCTACCATATTGCTTTTAAAAAAAGGAAACAGAGTTCTGAGTTCTTGTTAAGCTCCAGAGAATTTGCGAGAATCTCTACATAAAATCCTATACATAGAGTGAATAACTAGGCGTCCCTAAAATTATGACTCACTGCACTTGTGCGAAAGCTTTAACTTCTTACCCCTGAAAAGTTTAGCGTTTTTGCTTCAATTTTTTTCACTTTATTAAACCTTTAGACGCGTAGGCTTCACAACAAAAACATTTTATTCAACCAGACGCTATACGCCCCTAAGATGAATTTTAAATAGTGTTTGTTGAATAAAGGTTTTTGTCCCATACAAATTTAAGCGAGGGTGCATCAATTTTCCTCATCTTAGTTGCGTAATTACTGCATTTGTGGTACAACAAATATTCTAGAAGTCCAAAGAGGCATCGGGTCACCACCCCGGCGCCATGAAGTCTATCGAGATTAGTCACCGGCCCGAAAATACGACCTGCTTATTCAGTAATTGTCGAGTATTCTCTAGAATGTTCTGTGATTTTTCCAAAAACCTTCCGTTTGCTGTATGCCGAAGTGATTATTAGTGAAGTTCCCGCTCGTATGTGATAAATTTACATGTTATAAATTGTGTACAAGTGAGTGATAAATATGTTTTAACTGTTATAAATCAATTCATTTTAAGGTCTGATAAAAATGCATTATTAAAATAATTGGAGAGGCAACACGAATTCGTGAGGCCATGAAAAGAACGAAGTATTTAGATGACTCCTACCATTTCATTTCTCTTGGCATTGGGTCCTTGGCACGAAGAAGCCAAATCACTAATTCGCAGATTGGTCAGAAGATTCGAGGAGTTACTAATAAGGCTCGTTCTACACAACGAATAAGTATTGCTGTACGACGGAGTAATGCAGCGCCAAATCTGGGTACTATTGTTTTTTCCAGTCTAGTTTAGAAGAATTTTTTTATATTCTCTAGTGCCTTAGTTAATTATTTTAGAATTTATTTAATTAATTAAAATTCCAATTTACACTAATTAAATTTGTAATTCCCAATTGTAAATAAATTAATTACGTAATTAAATTTACGTTACAATACGATCAACAGAAAGATCCCATTAAAATGAATTTTATACGAGCCCTGTAACGGTAGCGGTAGTTTTGGATTTAAAATTTTGTAAATTTCTCTCGAATTTTCGTTGTAAATGTGAGTTTCGAGTTTAGGGGTAGATCCGTTTGAGTTTTCAATATTATTGGAAGTTGTAGAGTGTCAAAAGTTAATTTGTCCGATAAAAAATCATCTGTGGTGGATTTTCATCAATAAAATTTTAAACCGTGTTGGAAATGAAGTCTGTCTCTTCTGTATCTTTCAAGTCCAGGGGCGGACTGGGTAACTGCGGGCCAGGTAGAATTGCATAGGTTACAGGCCATTAAAGTATTAGTGTACTAATGATGGGGGGGGGGGGGGGGCTCTGAGGTGCACCACAAAAACATTTTAAAGTACTCTTTTCTCGAAAATAAATTACCATACAGTTTTTTTTTAAATTGCAGCTGATAATTATAAGTAACAACTTTAACAACCTAACATCAACCCCAATTAGAGAAACGTGTTAATAATTTATTAATAGTGCAAGAAACTAAATACAGCACATACTTATAAATTTCCAACGGGCCATTATGATCTACAGGCCAGGTGGCAATCGCCACCCGCCCCCCCGGGCCAGTGCGCCCCTGGTTATACACTGCCTTTTTTTGAGCCCCGAAAAAAAATTGTCTCAGATCGACCCGGAAAAAAAATTTTCTTATAGAATGTGGCCTGTAGAATCCATAATTTCAAACAGTTCCAAGATTGGGCTACTAGTTCAAAAGTTACAGCCCTTTGAATTTTTTTTCGAAATTGGTTTCTAATCTATAACTTTTGATTGAGAAGTTTGATCGAAAAAGTACGAATTGATTTGGATTCTACGCACCCAAATTAATAAGAAAAAGTGTTTTCCCTGGAAATTTTGGTGTAGTCGATTTTTGGTAAAAAAGGAAGGTTATACACTGCCTTTTTTTGAGCCCCGAAAAAAAATTGTCTAAGATCGACCCGGAAAAAAATTTTTCTTACAGAATGTGGCCTGTAGAATCCATAATTTCAAACAGTTCCAAGATTGGGCTACTAGTTCAAAAGTTACAGTCCTTTGAATTTTATCTCACCTGATCCTATGTTCAGCAAAGGAACCCCTAGATTTTAAATTTTTTGCACTTGCTACACTTGTAATGAAATGAATAAAAGCTTGAATTTTTTGCGACTAGAGGTCATTAGAAGGGACCTGGAAAACTTAGAAGGGGCAACATAATATCTACTACTTCCAAGACTCTGGAGAACGTGGTTAGAAGGCTTCTCCAAGACATGTAATGCATCCCAAAATCTCAGTGTAAGAAATTACTTTTTATGTAATGGTTTTGTCCATCTGTCCGTCGTTATACTCGTACGAACAACATAGTCTGTTTAAAGATTTTCGCAATTCAAAAGGTAGGTGATTATAGAGTACATTAAAATTCTTTCGTGGACTGGATGTAGCAGGAGCTGCTTTTTCTCACTTATAATTGCACAAGAGGTTTGTATTTTACCGAGTAAATTTGGGTTGTTTAGGTAATGAAAATCTGTTGCCTAGCAATTGCTAAAAGGAAACAGATTTGAATTGCCACAACCCAAATTTACTCGGTTTATATACAAACCTCGAGTGTAATTCGGCAGGACAATTTAACGAACAAGAAATTCACCAAACTAGTCAATTATTGACAGACGTCAAGCTAATCATATGGGAAAGGATAATGCGATAATTGTTCCAAAATGAATAAGTGAAAAAACCACTACACCTTTTCCACTTTTATTCTACATAGAAACTATCAAGTTAATTTGAGAAAGTATCAATTGTATTTGAAAATAGTAAAATGTATTTGAGAAAACAACAAATGTAGTTCAGAATAGTGATTTGTATTTGAGAAGGCATCAAATGAATTTGAGAGTAGTAAATTGTATTCAAGAAATGGTAAAATTAAGTATTTGAGAATCAATAACAAAATCACATGTATAACATAGCCTGATGCTGCTGCTGCTGTTGCGGGACTACATACAGTAGCGGAATTATAAAAATTTGATTCTTAATTATAATTCATTAGGAATAATATTACATTCTGAAATACAATAAAATTAAATGATACTTTCTCAAATACATTTGATGTTTTCTCAAATCCAACTGACTATTCTCATCTACTTTGACGTTTTCTCAAATACAAGTAACAATTCTCAAATACAATTTACAACTTCTCGAATAAAAGTGGAAAAGGTGTAGTGCATTTGTCGCTGGAAAAGTTGCAGGTAACTTTTGCCGCTGTCAAAGTGACAATTACACTGCGGCTTATGCGATTTTTTATATATGAGTTGAATTGTCTACCAAAAACACGACCTGCCAAGCATTTTGATCAAGAAATTGGTCTTCGGTCAGCAAACATTATTGTACATGTAATATATTATTGTGTAAACCACGTCAGGTGGACGTTATTTAGGTTGAAATTACCGAAGATAATAACGGGTCATCCTATGTGTGCGAATGTTTTAATTTAATTTAAATCTGGGGGATTTCATTACGAATAAGTACGAATTGGTTTATTTAATCAAAATTTGCTATTTTAGTGTCTATTTTTCCGTTTTAAAATCGTTTTTAATTGCATAATTTTAAAATTTCATCGAAATTTAATTGTCAACTCTGTTAGAATGTAAGAAACATCTGATCGTTATCGGAAGTAAGTTAATTCAGTGGTTCTCAACCTTTTAGACACTGCGACCCCCTTTTTGGGTTGAGTATTACGCCGACCCGCCTATGAATTACGATTTTTAAATAATTTAAACGTCCACAATAGTAATTTTAATTATTACAGATCACATTAAATAAGAAAAGTAATAAATCAATAAATTTTGCAGTCAGTTGTTTTATAAAAATATTCCGATTTATTTGCGCCCCTTCAAATGGAGCGCTTCTTTGTGAATAACTGGAACTATAATTGTTTTTAATTTTTCCCCTGATTCGCGACTTCCTCGGACACGTTCTACCACCCCCCCAAAGGGCCGCGACCCATCGCGAACGATGCTGAATGAATAAACTTTAAGACGAACGTGAATTTGGCGCTGATAGCAAAGGATGGAGGTGCACGATTTCGTTTGCACGTAATTTTGGTATGGAAGAGGGGACACTTCAAGCGCTCCTTATTGGTGTGGCATTTGAAATTGGCGGAAGTAGGAGAGTGACGGTTTAGGGGAAATGTTGTCTTTTTAAATAGGGAAAATAAGGAGCTTGTGAGTTTAAGGCCACTGTCTCGCCGTATGCTGGTCACAAATAATTTAATTCAACTATTGAAAAAGTAAT